TATGGGGTCGAAACGGATAGGTTGGGCATCCTCACTCGGACAAATGGGTCACTTCACGCGACTTTGATGCAGCATATCCCGATTGTCCAGATTTGAGGGGTGTTATTTCATCTGGTGCAGAAAAAAGCTTGCCCCACGGTGCCCTTGTCGTTAGAGCGCCTCCCATGCGCCAGACATCGTAGTCCCATCCGCCATTGATGGCTCCGGTCGATACACAACACGCTGGCCCGCACCTGCTGCCAGATCTGCCCAGGAGCGTCCATTGAAACTGTCGTGTTGCATGCCTTATTATTCCTGGTGCGCGAGCCTCGGGAAGATGATTCGCACTGACTGCGCGGACGGGAATATGCATACTCCAAGCTCAGGTCCCATCTACCTCGCGATCCCTTGCGAGTCGACTTGGCGGTGTGGTTTATGTGCCGCGCACCCCGCGCATCAAAATGAACATTCGATACGTGGAATATGCTACATATCCTAAGCATGGTAGCGAGCACGCACGGCGGTGTGGCGTAACTCGGCGCCACACTTGGAGCCACCCTAGCCGGCCATACAAAGTGTGAGTGTGATGCAGTTCAAGTCACTCAAGCTCACATGATAGCGGAAGATGGTGGTGCATGATTGCCACACATGTCGTAGTGATATACACATGGCAGCAACGTCCCAACGGACAATCGGTAGACAAGCGAGCGTCAATGAAGGAGGATATGGTGGCTCCGTAGGAACATAGAAGTTTGCAAAAAGCATTAGTATATCTCAGCTGTCCTTGTGGTCTAGGTTGTTTTGCCCCCTCACCCGGGACATGCAAAGCATCGAACAGAGCGTGTCCAAACCCCAAAGCAGTGCTGGGCTGACCGACATTTCGAGAGGCGGAGGGAATGTACGACGGGGAATTGAGCTTCTACCATGCCCGGGGCCAGCTCGAAGGGATCACAAAGCAAGTGTCTAAGGTTTATACATGAAGATGTAGATACTTGGATGATTATCAGGACGATGAATAAGGTCACAGAGATTACTGACCATGATACTCAAACCTCATATTTTGACAGACAGACGTATGACAGGTGGAAGCATTAGCTGCCGTGTATACATACCATAGACATCTTCGTTGTGTCATGTTTCCATAGTCGATAATCACAGATTAGTTGGTCCAACACAAGTGTATATCACAACGGCTGCAGGGCACGCAGATGGTCACCGCACTATTTACAGACCCTCAGATGCTTTCGCATAGACAGATAAAATATTACACAATCAGCCCAGCCGGAACACGTACAGACATAGACACCAGCAAGTGTATTACATGGCGACGACCGAGATCAGTCTGAGAAAATAATGCGACAAACGTAAAGGAAGCAGTGACGCGGAGTGGAATTGGTGGACAAACAAGATCGACACATACAGGGACACCGACAGCTCACAGCTCGTCCTCAGATTGGACCACAGCATCGTAAGCCGTGGCCAGCGGGACCATCTTCGCAAGCAGGTCCACCTGCTTGACTGGCCTGCCCTTCTTCAGCTTGAAGAACGCCCTCCCTTGGTTTTCCAGCGCAGAGATGGCGAGTACCACCCAGTTCTGGCAGTTCCAGTTATGATTGCCGTTGACAATGGGTACCGTGCTCAGCAATTGGTCCGCCGCGTCCAGAGCCGTCGCATTGATGTGGCCGACGAGCACACATCCCTTGAACGATGACGGGGAGCCATACTTCACGTTTTGCTTCCGCTCGTAGGTGAAGATAGCCTGAGTCGCGCCCTTGATGTGAAAGGCCTCCCCGACAGCCTGGCCGGTACCTTTGACCCAAGGATTTGTTTTGACGACAATCTCCCAGTGCCAGGCAGTGTCTTGCGTGTTGCTATATTGAGCAACAAACACCGGGAGTTCAATTTGCTGGGACATCTTGTTTTGCTCAAAATCTGGACACGGATGTGGCTGGACGCAAGCGGGATCAGGACGAGAATCGTGACATCGACGGCTGAGTGCTCACCTTTGGGGGGTGCCGTGGCTGGAAGGTTGAGAGCGGCGGATGCTCTCTGTCCCATCCTAAAAGCTGTATTTATATGTAGGGAGCTCTTTACCTTGTCTCTACAAAGACGCTCCTCTCCGGAGAGCGAAACCAATGGGAACGACCAGTGTCACGAGCCTGCTCTGCGAAGTTGATGCCAATCCACGGAGCTGTCCAATCCGGCCATGCAAGCGCATTCAATCATTTCATGGTGTCCTACCTGCGCGCGCTCGGCCAATGAAATGGCTTCTGTCGTGTGGGGCCATTTTGCCCCATTGTCCTGTGAGAACACACGGCTGTTCAATAGCAATAGCTATCCTCCCACAGCTAGATCAACAACAACGCACAGAGACTCATCGGGAAAAGGAATCAATGATCGAGCGGCGCAAACGCGTGTCCACCGTTCACCATATGACCTTGTTCAGTGGACTGAACGGACGGGCCAATCAGCTCAAGCGCCCGCTGCACTTCGCAAGCTGAGTGAGACAACGCTCACCTGGTCAGCAACCTTGGCAACTGTAATATGATGACCGCGAAATGACATTGCTCTGGTCATGACTCGTCGCACCTCTCTCGTCATTCAGTCGAGGAACCCGGAGAACGCGTCAGCATCGCTCATCACATGGGATCATCAATCGAGACCCACCAGAAGTCGTAGCAATCGTGCCAGCCTATTTATGACCGGTAAGCAGGAACAAATATCGCGTTCATATTGCGGTATCACGCACAAGCCATAGCCCTGGAGGGTATCTGAGCTAATGGCTTCAAGTTCGCTCCCCGTCAGGTCAGAATCAGTACAGGATACGTGCAACTTGGGTCCGCCACGGATGCTGCATGAGATTCATGAGGGAAAAAGGGCAGCAGCGGCGTTTCATGCCTGAGCACACAAATTTCTGCCACATCTCCAAACAGCGAGTCATCCGACGGGAAAGAGCCAAGGCGCAACAGATTATACTGGCCCTCGCTACACGCCACATACATCTACGAGGACATCGGGTATAATAGGTTCAATCGCACCGTTACGGCCCCCACATCAACATAGACAGTTACAGCCTATGGTTTCGCAGCGACCAGAGTTCGCTCATCTGCACTGACACGATTGAAGAGCCACAAAACAGGAACATGAACGCACAGGCGAAAAAACTTGAATGTCTCTGGAGATGGAGTCTTACACCTGGGACGCACAAGTGCACGTCACCGCAGGGTCCACCAGATTCCCTGAGGAATGGGTACTAGGATAACTGAACTGGACAGCACTTCATTTCCCGAGCCGGCGCAATCAAACACCCGACATAATTCGACACACACGGCCACGGCAGACAGTGTGTGCGCGTCGGCCATGCACAAATGTTGCGTCGTAGCGTACCTGCTATGTGAGCATTCGCGATTAGCCCTCCTACCAGCACGGCCGACCTCAAGCAACAAAGGCAATCTGCGCTGCCGCCGACGGGCGGGAAGAGAGAAGCTGCGGAGACATACCGTAAGGATGTACACGGTATGTCTAATGTTCGTGATACACCTTGTAGTGACAACGCTTGATCTCCTACCAGACAATCAACATCTCACTCATGTGGATGCATGATAGACAACGCACTGCTCGCCTTCACAGCAACGACAGGTCACCGCTGGCGCGGAATACTGGATCTATCAACACAAGTTGAATCGTTGAGAAAGGCTTGTAAATACACCTGTCGTTGCAAAACATCTGCAATGTACCATTTGGCCAAAGGGACGAAGCATACAAATGACGCCAATACGGTTGTGGATTTGCGGTAGTCGGTAAAACGCTCGGCCATGGCAGGCGCCTCTTCGGAAGAAGCCATCTTGCCGCATTTGCTCGGCGCTGCCCAGCACATGAACCACCCCATCCTTCTACTTGCCTACCCTAACTCAATATGCTCGCTCCCACCGCTTAATGTCAACTCTGCTCTTGTCCAACCCGCGCAGGTCAGCGCAATGCGTTCAAGATCGTCTGCGGACCACGGACTACGGACACGTGGCATTCAGTGAGTATATACGCGTTCTATGATTGTATTGTGTCACAGTCAATGCCAGCACTTCAGCTCAGTATGCATGATCCCTGGCTTGATCATGATGGAAAGGGTCCTTCAAAACCTCAACTAACTACGCATACAACGGATACTACCGCGGGTTCGAGGTTCCTCCGTTTTTGCACATCACTTTTCAGCAATTCAAAGGATTTTTCGACATCCTGGGGAACAGAGGCGCCATAACGGCACATGAAGAGACGCAGGAGCATACTCCTTGTCAGCGGCGCTATATGGATGGCGCGGGTCACCACAGTTTGTGATTTTCCGGGACATCTGTACTAGCCCGTCACTACGGGACAAGTGTTCCCGATGCTCTCTCTCTGCTCAATTGTCGAACACGTCGACGCATCCCAAACTGCTGTTGACTTCCTTCATGTCTTTCAACCCAAGAATCAAGACACATAACTTCTCTGCTATACTCCTCAGCCTCAGGACATTATCGCATTCCCTACCTCGCCAGCGGCTACTCAGGCGCTCCTAGACAACTACTTCCATGGATAATAACATGGCATAATCGTCTCCGGCGGTACCCCTTCAACGCGGACTGTTTATTTGCCGTCGACGTAGGCCTCAACTAGTGGTGTTCAGGATATGGAAGCGCTCCGAGATACTCGGTCGTCATTCCTAGTCAACGACCTCTGATGCGCTAGTGAATCACCCGCAGGCTAGACAACTCTTGGCGAGCACTTGACTAGCGCGTGTCTTAGGTCTATCAATTCGGGTGAGGACGTCGTCTGTGCCAATCACGAGAAATGCGACACTATCAATGTTGCATTCTTTCTCCCTCTGTCTCCTTTGGGGATTATCTGTGCACCTATCGTGGTGGTACTGCCGCTTTCCAGCTGAACATCTCGTGGCATGACGTGGATCTGGTTGAGGAGACTTGATGCCGCGATATTGTCACGCGGGCTCCGGAGCATCGCCGACATCATATGTAGGCAGTTCTCATCAGGATATGCAGTATTCTGTCGAGGTCGCACGGGAGATGGCATTCCATACATTACGATCATATATACGCTCGTACGCCGTAGTCACACTCTTGTCCGTTTGAGCCCTTACTACGGTCTACCACGACCCTGTCTTTGCCGCCGTACATTTCTCCTACGTTTGTTGTCTGATACCTGTTGATTATGGCGGTTGTCACTGGTGTGGATTCCAATCATGAGTAGTATAGTCGCTCAGTCGTTTCCAGCTGCAAGATTGCCTCTCCTGAGGGTGTAGCGATGACGGGTTTCGGCCGATGCCGACGATATTTGAGATTGTAAGATTGCAATGGATCCCTGGCTACACCCACGACACATGTCTATGCTACACATCCTGCTTGGACTACATCGCGCCGTCCGCTCAGGTTTCATCGAATAAGAGAGAAACGTAGCGTCTCACTGTCCACCGGTTCTTGTCTTTCCTCAGAGGATCCGTACGGGACAATCATCGCATCGTTGTGCGAGGTACACCCATACCACTTATCGTTCGTGCTATCCCATATGCTGGTGTCAGAAGCTAACCATCGACGATTGAGTCGAGCTATCGGACGATACGTAAGCACACAATTCACTCACTGGCATCGTATGACGGTTGAATGAGAATAGATACATCACAACATAGACAGCGAAGACACAAACTAGAGCCTCAAATACACAGCAAACGAGCAGCGAGATCAACAGAATCATGCATATCCATATCAAAGTCCTCGGAAAAGCGGAGACGATAGCGGAGATAGCGGAGACGCCAGAGGAAGGGATCGATGCGAAGAAGTCTAATCCTCGTCGGATGATGCATGTGAGCCTTCACTCGCACCAGTCATTATTTTGCCGTCCTTTGTAGGGCCAGTGCAAGTGCTTCCTTGTAAGACATACCGTGCAGATCGCGGCAATGCCTCCCGCGTGCATCGTCGCGCGAGTACACCTTGAAACAGAGAGGACATTCCCATTCCTTCTGCTCGCCATTAGCGCAACCGTTTCTCAAATGGCGTCGACGATCGCTGCTGCGACTGAACCATGCGTCGCAATGCTCGCATTTGTAGTTGTATGCAGCGGGCTCCTGGGGCTTGGATCTCCTGTTGACGTACAGGCGAATGACATTCTTGCGTGTACCGAAGCGGGGCTTCTTGTGACGAGGAGCGCGCGGTGCTGGAGCGTCGAAGACGTCGTCGTCGTTGCCGTAGTTGATGTAATTGGTGTTACCGTCTTCCTGCCCTGCGTATTGCAGGCCGGGAGCGGGATCGCTGGTTACGCACTGTAGCGGAACGTGCGATAAATGTGCAGTGTAGCACTGGTGGATCCAGCTTGCGTAGTAGCTATAGTATGGATCCAATGAGGCCGTCCAGGGTCCGACAGCCGGGGTCAGCGCATCGTTTGGCGCATAATGAGAGGGGGCAGCGGATGGATGCTCCGCCTGTGGCAGCGGATGGTCCATGAACTGCCCGTGACCATGCGGGGATGTGGTTCCTTGCCCACTGAAGGTCCTGCGCCAGAGGAGTGAGTCCATAGGGTTGATCCCTATGGTGGCTTCCTTTGTGGCGAGGTCCTCAGAGCTGGGGGGCTGACAGAACGTTAGTTGCTGTATGTAGGCAGAGGAAAAAGACGACATACCTCTCGCGATCCACGGGGGGACAAGTCCCAATCAAAATCAGTAAAGAGACCCTCAAGGTCCCCATCACATCCGGGTGCGTCTGACTCATTGTGATGCTCTTGACAAGTTGCAGGAGTTGCTGTGAGAGATATTTCTTCCTCTGCGCTCGTGCTCGTGCTACCTTGAAGCCAATCGCCCAACCATGTGAATGCGTCGGAGGACATGATAGGGTTGGTGTGCTCAGGATAAGGAATAATGTGGCCCACAGGTCAGCGCCTAGTATAGAGGTCGCCAAGGTTGTAACGAGTCGATGCTGGTCTGGGAGGCAAGAGAGACACCGCTTATATGTGAGCTCTACGATAATGCTCCGCGCAGAGTACGCTGGCTCATGACCCGCGCGTGCCCCTATGATCCTTGCGAAGGTGCGCCTGTGGGCGTTCAGAACAATGCAGGCCCTCATCCACGCATTGGTAGAAGAAGAGAGAAGCATACATAATGAATTGCGAGCGAGTGACAGCGGCAACCGTTTCCAAATCGAGATGAAGGCTGGCGCTGCGCGTCTTTGTTCTCAGTGGACGGTGACCGGTTCTCACGCTGCTGCAACGTGCCACTCATCCTCGTATGTGAAGCTCTGGCGGGATTCTGTATGAAGGTAATTCCACATGTCCGGATCTCCCTTGTGGATTGAAGAGTACAACCACGTCCTCATTCTTTCGGAACAGCCTCTCATGCGATTGGCCGCCTTTCGGATTAAGGTCCGTGCCCGATCGTTGAGTCACCGGTTGAACCACCCGCCCGAGGTGATAAACCCCAAATAAACCCTGGATACACGATGTCGCTGATGCACGCAATAGATTATTACTACCCCAAGTCCAGGACTTGTCTGGATCGGCCAGAAGAAGACCGTTTGGACGATGGCTCCGAGTTCAGACATCACCCAAGCCGCCTCGGCGGGGATTTCTGCAGGGCTGTAAGGTGAAAGGCATAAGTGTCTTCCTGCGAGGTCAGCGTGGGCTTCAGTCACTGAAGGTGTGTCATATGTTCTATTGTGGCTCTGGTAGTCCGGAGCAAGGTGCCTACCCGGCATTTCTGTGATCGTCCTGCACGCCACGTTGTTAGCCACCGTTTTTTTTCACGCGTCAGGCGTTTGCCACACTTCTGCCCTCCATTGATTCATTATGAGATCCATGGTCATGTCAGTTTCGAACAATTTCACCACTGACACGGGCCACATGCTGTCCATCGGCCAAATGGACATGTGTGCAAACCTATTGACATACCCCTCCCGGTCTGCGTCGTAGGACGTGCGTACAAGAATGATGGTCTGAACCACCGACAACGTGGCTGTTATTCGGGAAGCCTCTGACATGCCGTCTGACGTAGGGATAGATATGGATATGCAACAGCCACAAATCTATATTCTTTGTCGTTCAGGGATACGGACCATGTCCTCCCATCAGCTACCTGTTGTGCTCAATCCCGGTGCGGAATTGGCTTTTTTTGTCGATAGTGAAGCTCAAACCTAAGTTTGACACCTCTGCGATTTCGAATGGCCGTATGTCATGTACTTTTGCTAAGCAGCTTTCGCAGAATGCTACGCCGAATGCGTGTGGTTATAGTGGCCTGGTCGAACACTCAAGGCGATGCTCATGCCCCTAATTGTCGTAAACGGGATTGGTGAGGTTCTTACGTGTAACCCGAGGCGCCTCATGGAAGTGGGTAACTCATGCTTGAGCGGGTATGTCTTCACGTTGCTGCTGCTTCGTGATTCCAAGTTATTATCCGGTCTGGTTGCGAAGAAGCCCTTTTTCATGCACGTGGCCAAGCAGCTACAGGCTCCTCCAGAGATCTATTCGTCCATATCCCGATACTCCCGGGAATATGTGCCCTAACACAGACGTCATACGTGGGCTTATTACGTGGATGCATTCCCACTTTCTCATTTTTGTCTCGAGATATAGAGCCAACGCAGCTGATGTTTTGAGCTCGGTGGAGGTATGCTCTCGAGTATTCTATGAGATGTTGCTCTTCTTCGCTGACAAATAGAAACAGGAGTGACAGCGGCAACACTTCTAAATTGGGGTGCAGCCTGGCGCTTTGCGCCTTTATTCTCGCCACGCCAATAGGTCGACAATGGCCCGTTCTCGCGCACATGCAACGTGTCATATATTTTTGTAATCCGACAATGTGAGGTCTTGATGAGCTAGTTGCGTGGACAGAGGAGCGTGACTTGTGCTTGTCATCTAGGGAGATTTTACGCTTCTTGGCAGACCGTATACGCGCGGTAATGCGGCTCTCTTCACGGGACGACGACATTTCAGAGTCAAAACCCGTATTAAATTGTCGAACTGTCGCATGAGACACTCGCCTGTGGAAAACGCAGCACTGTGGGTGCACGCTGTAGCTTATGCTTGCAACATTCTATAGCGACACAACATCTAGGTATTATATGGCGCGGTCGCATCAGCGTGGAACGGACTGCTGAAGACTTCCGCGCGTTCGACATCCGTCATCACTCAATCCGCGGCAGCAGAGAACTTCAACGAATCGTGAGATGAAGAGGGCGAAGACAATATCAAAGGAGGTGTGTCGCCTATTTCGTTGTGGCTCTGATTGTCTGCAGAAGTAATTCCCTCGTTACATCTGCAGTATCCGCGCCGAATGTATCACGACCTCTCGAGCATGAGGTCGTGGTATTTCTCCTTTCGCAGCAGCGGCCGTCTACCGAAGCAGCACCTCTGTGTTTGCCATGCACAAGATGCCAGTGATCATCGATCATCCACGCACTAGGCTGCTTCTGCACCGCCGTAGTGCGATGTTCGATGCGCTCCATAACTGGATCCATGTCATCCTTGAGTTTGCGCAAACATGGACCTGCACCCCGTACTTTCATCAGCAAACTGAACTTGTGTGCAAACCGGCTGACATACCACCATATGTCCACGCCATGAGACTTGCGCATGAGTGCGAATTATTGACAGAGCGATCGAAACAATTACCTGGCGTCCGCATGCGTGCCAGGTGGGATATAGCACCCCATCTGTGCCGCTGTCCAGCACTTTGGATGTGGTTGCATTATTCCTCGTGCACTATGGGAGAGCGGAGGTCCAGCCATCTGTGTTCTTTTACTCATTACCCACTCACGACGGGTCGATAATCTAAATCGTACTCATTGTCATCATCTGCGACTTTGATGTGCCTTTCAATAGACTGTTATTGATTTAGGGGCACGGACACACTGCCACTATCCGTGTGTACACTGGGACCCACCTTAATGTCAGAGTCTAGCCCGCTGCACTCCTGTTTGACCCCTGTAGTCATCTGGGCGTGCAGCACGCGAATGACAGTCTGTGTCAATCTTTCATTCCCAACGTAGCAGGATCGGTCGACCAGTCAGAAATAGAGACATAATATGTGGAGAGGTCTGCGACGCGAGTTTGTGTCCCCTTCCCCGATCGTTCAACACTGCAATACTGCATATTCCTGATGCGTCTCAGTCTCGGTGACGTCTTTCTGACGCACTACCTCCGTGCCGAATATTTCTCGACATTTCCACAGACTATGGAATTGACTAATGCGTTGTCCCAGGGATCTGTCTACCAACCGGCGCATCTGCTCATTATGTCGGCTTGAGATGAGATGTCACGATACCATCAGCCCTTGCCAATGTTTGTTGCGCCGTCCTATGCGATCGAGCTGTCTGGTCGTGTGAAAACCATTTATTGTCCGTTAACGACACTGCGGCTTTCTCAAGAAAAGTTTTGGCACTCCAGAATGAGGAACCCTGCCAGACTCCAGTGCGACCTCCAACATCTATCCTCGGGGCAAATAACGCCAAACCCATCAGATCTCCGTAAAGATTAGATTATCTCGTTAGTAGATTACCAACTCCGGCCGGAACTTAAAGCGAGCTCCTGTCATGCACCTGCCCATTGAGTCCGTGTCATCCTGCACGCACACGCCGCCCTGTAAGCAACCCTCTTTGATCTCCTCTGTGTAACAAAGCGCTGACCTGAATATCCGGCACTGGATACGTCCCGACACACGTGCGTCTTACGTCGTGGTTCCTTGGGTTCTCATAAGTCCCAGCCTGATTCCTGAATACGGAAGTAGTCAATGTACATTGTAAGTGTCGAGATAATTCTTCTTGTAAGCTCAATCTACGGTTGCAAAGATGGTTAGTTAAGCAAGGCGAGGGAGTTAGCGCGGGTATCGCTTCGTATCATAATTACTCCACATCACTCGCAGTGGGCACCGCCCGTCGCCGCTCGACTCCACCAATTCAAAGGGGTGTCCTGCAGGTGATGCGAAATTTAATTTGTGCCTTGTTTTTCCGTGGGGCGTTGTCTAGGCTCTCTCATGTGCAATGAATCTTTGCTTGGAGTAAAGCTCCAAGCACAGCGTTGCTGCGTACACGACACAGTGCTCCTCGATTCATTGTGCTACGAGTCCTCCCTGGTCCTCCATCATCCTTGCCCAGAGTCCTTCATCTTTGTAACTATCCTCAGATATTTCATGCTGCGGTTTCCTCTGCTGGTAACCGCCTTTATTATAGCCGTCCAGGTCCGACATACCGGAGGATCAGGTAACACTACTTGTGCAGGAAGCGACCTCAATTGGTACACAGATGTTGTCGGGGAAACACCTTGTGCGTTATCACGATCTTAACTGTTGAACTTCTGCCCATCAAGGACATAACAAATAGGCATGACATATCAAAGACTCCGTCAAATATGCAACAGCGACTGTGCGTCTCTTCTCTCCTTGTGCATGTTGGGTCACAATTGCTGACGATCGATACATTCAGATGAGGTCCCTTCCTTTCGTCCAAACACGCCTGGGGATAATTGTGACGATCAGCTAGGTATGCTGGTATGCTGGTACCTGCTGATGGGTGCCGCTGTAACCAACACGTCCCTAGTGACTTGTTGCTGCAACTCAATCTCTTGGGCACTGAGTATGCTTTGTATGAAGTAAGTCGCAGCGATTATTCCTCCTGTCCAGCACTCACGTCCACGTACTTTAGCTGTCAACAAGACAGGAATAGCGCTAACGGGATCGACGCCGGCAAGTCTTATTTATGCATCTATCTTCCCCTTGCTTCCTTTCCACACATACTGACTGATTATAAACGCCTGATCCTTTATTCCCATACATCACGTAGGTGCAGGCGCATATTACATATACCGGCACAGCGACACCAATAGTGCGTATTGCGGCGACGGAACGAATTCGTCGTAAGTGGATTCTGCAGTATATGGCGGGTGGCACTCCTGAAGGTTCGGGTTGGAAAGGCTGCCCGCGGCAATCCAGACGGCGGTATGCGACAAGAACATACGACTCGATGACTTCCTATACGGCCTGTTTTGGAATGATGGCTCATGGTACGCACAGGCTCTGACTTCTCAGCTCTGAATCCGTCTCGGCGACTAACGCACCACGTTGTCTCCAGGTACTAGTATGTCTGTCATAGATGCAGGCGAGGCTTGGCGTCTAATGCACAACTCTACAGCACGTACACTCGGGAGACCGCCGAGGAAGACCACGCAGCGCACGCAAACAACACGTTCCAGCATTGTCCTAACAGCGCGACGACTGCCGCATCGCACAGCACCAATCCGTCCAGCTCTCAGACTGCTCACTCGTCAAGCACTGGTGCGGCCGGGAGCGGGCACCATGTGGACACTGGTGCTGTGATTGGCGGCGTTGTTGGGGGTGTGCTAGGCCTGTGTCTGCTCATGCTAGGCGCTGCGTGTGTAATGCGCCGGGCGAGGGGCGGGAAAGCTGCGGTGTACGACGAGCAACCTCTGGACGCGACGGAGGCAACGTCTCTCGGGGCGCACCCGTTTACGCTGCAGCAGACAGGTATACAGTTGATCTTGGCCGAGTCAGCACCTAGCATACGGCTGAGCCTCCACACGCAGATCTCACCAGCAACTTGCGCACGCCGCCCGCGTACGAAAAGCACGCGCCGCAGCGCTTAGAAGGCTCGGCGTCGGAGCCTCCGACGAGCTCCGGAGCCGGCGAGCAGGTCGGTAGGACACATGCCAGTACAGTACCATATACCGCAAGTGCGCATCACGAGGCGGGTGTCGCACAGTTGAGTGGCGCGCATGAGCGGGAGGAAGACGCGGGGAGGATCGACGAGTCGGGACTGCGGTTACCGCCGGCCTACAGCAGTGAGTGGGAGACTGAATGAGAGCGTATTCCGGGAATACCACCATAATATCATAGTGTGTTAGAGGTAGTATGTACACAGAATAGCCATATTTATAGATTTGTAATACCGGGCTGGAAGGTGGTAGAGGTTCAAGGTCTCGGCTGCCTGTGTTACTTTGACCAAGGACAGGATACATAGGAAAAGCAGAATACGATTAGACACCTCGTACTGAACCCTGATGCAAGATGCGCTCCTAAGTCGCGTAGCACAAATGAAGATATATTGTGCGTCAGGACAGCCGTCTCATTTTCGTAACTTCGGTACCATGCGCTCAGGAACGACCAAATGCAAGTCCAACATACTTTAACGTTAAAGCGTGTATTCAACCAGTTAACGTACGACCACAAGGGCATGAAGGTCGCACATAATGAACCAGGGTAACAATGAAAGTAACGGCAGATTCGTCGTGAGTGGATAATGGACCAAAGAGGGAACGATTACTGGACCTCTGTGTGTCCGCAATGCATAAGTAACCATGTAGAGAGAATGATGCACATGTACACAATGCACTGCAGCACAAATGGGAGAACTTCTAGATTATGTCTCGTCACTGATGATGTAGTCACTCTGAGACATCAAGCTTGTGCCGCTCACATGTCGCCGCTCGACTCCATTAACCAAGGTTGTTCCTACCATGGCTTCGCTTTCTTCATGAACATTGAGAATATTCTCACCAAAATACTAGTTCGCACATATACAAAGCAGTCTCGAGTGACGTTCACACGAGTACCGCAATTTGACCGCCGGATTGTACAGATACACCCTGCCTACGGTGTATGCCAGCGACGCATAAGAAATAGATTCTTCACGTCTTCAACAAACCGTGTATTATCGGGTCAGGGGGAGGGACATCTGGACAATCCTTTCCACGCTAAAGAGTGGCGTACGTCGTATTTAAGGCATGTCGACCACTCGTTTAACTCGCTAAATACACCGCTTCTGTATGAACTCATCCGTTCCGGCCTCCTTGAATATCTGCGGAAAGAAGACATCATCTAGTCCGCGGCTTCGTGAGGTGCATAACAGTGTTCGACCGCCCTTGGAAAGGAAGGCTCATGATTCGAGCGCGAAGCAGGGGTTCGAGCGCGAGCGCGGTGATGACTGCGACGAGGACAACAATGAGGTGGCCCACCCTAAGGCCACGACGAGCGCGAATCCCACCGAGAAACCCAAGACCAAGAGGTCGCGGTCTGAACCCGCTGAGGTGCCACACATCACCTGCCCAGGCTGTGCAGGCAGCTTTTGGCAAGACACATTCGGACGCCATTGGAGGGACCACTGCGGAATGAGCCCGGCAAGGGGGATTCGTCAGCCATTGGTCTGCGACGTCTGCTGGAGGATGTAGTAGCCTGGAAACGACCCACTGAGGGACTTCCCGACTGACCACTCATTGAGGCGCCATGTGGCACAGATGAGTCGTGCGCCGTCACTGGTCATGACTGATGGACGTCATCTAAATCAAACCTACCCTGTCGATTCTCCGTCGTCTGTTGAGACGCTAGCAGAGCGCTAGGGAAGTGCTGCGGTCTTGACTATCCATCACATAAGGCACGCAGTGAAGTCTACTCGGATCCATCTCGAGTTTGTACTGTCCTGCATCCTTCCTTAAAACGTTTTGATTGAGGTACCTAGAAACGAACAGTAACGTGAGTGCCGCACAAGCTTTGTTCTCATATCAGGATGCTTAGCGACATGCCAGCAGCGTTTACCTTCATTCTCTTGTCTTCATAGGAAACACCGTGTCCAAACGAGGAAGGCCGAGGACTCACGAAAACGAAGGCACTCATCCTCCGCGCATCAGGTCTGATGACTTCCTGAGCGAGGGGTTGTTATATGAATGTGGATTTGCTGTACACAACAGTCTAGACTTTGACCCCATAACGGGAGAGCCTAGGCTGGAGTTCGACCCTACTCTAGAGGTCGAACCGTCAATGCAGAGCTGTCTTGTGTTACCATTGAATCGGGTCAAAGAGGGTCACCTCCAAAAACTTGATCCTTCGCCAGAAGGCCGCCAGCATTCAATCTATACCATGTCATCACACGAGATACCAGCAATATATCCTTCGCACATGCACCTGACGCACAAAATGTGGGGCAGGATGTACACAAAAAAGAACACACCACACGTACCGAGGGCGGTCCCCGCGACCAGAACGGCAATGCGCTCATCATGCCGCCGATGTGTCGCGGACAGCGTTCCTTCAATCGCGCTCCCACCACAACCTCATGTGGAAACCTGTCTGGAAACAGATGAGGCCACGAGGGTACGGTGTTCCACCCGTAGTCCATCCCGAGCCATCGCCTTCTCCTGACCGAGCGGGAGGCCTCAGAAGGATTCAGCCGTCATGTGCCGCAAAGGGTGTGTGATCAGCCTCGAGTGCCCACGCTGCAGTCCTGAGTCGAGTGATGGTGGCCCACCGTACTGCTGCTCTGCGTGTCAGCAATCAGCTTGACCATCTCTAACGACGTCTTTGTTCCCGTGTACAGAAACTTGTCCTGGTCGAAACGCAATCTCTCTGCACTGCCACCAAAACACACGTATCTCAGGACACCGGTATGTCAGGGCGACGAGTCTAATGCGGTCCAATCTTACAGTGTACTGTCATCTATCAGTTCGCCGTGGTCTTCGTCTCGATTCGCCCTGAGCTGTAAGCGTGTACGTGTGTCACTCAGCCACAAACTATATCAAGGCGATAATATGGGATATACCTGGTTGAGCCGTACATAATACACGTTCTTGAGCTCGACCTGGATGCAGAGTGGAGGTAGCACCCTCGCGGGAGTGGTAATGACGCAAGGATTCTCGAAGGTCGCCCGTTACCGTCCTGTGTGGACAAGCTCAAGTTTAAACGATCGCAAGTGAAGTGGGAAACACACCTCGAACGGGTGTATGCTGACGAATGTATGCTGACGAATGTATGCTGACGAATGTATGCTGACGAATGTATGCTGACGAATGTATGCTGGACCCATACTTGGTCGAACGGGCAGAACTGGACCTTCACGGACGCGCTCTGTGTACCATCACATTGACGCATGAGCGCTGTCGAGTCGCTCCGATGGTGACGTAGGAGAGCAGGGACCCGTGCAGCGTTTTGACGTACAAGACCTGGATAGTCTGCATCAAGGTCTTGTGCAGATCGCGGTCAGCGTCACAGTGTCGGCTTTGGCGAGACTATGGACTGCATCCAAGGCCTGCATATATACGGGATCAGCAGACGCAACATTGATAGGAAAAACGCGTAGCGGTGCACCTGACGAGTATCGCGCAGGATCGACAACGCGACCGCGCGGTGCCGCACAGCTCCGCCTACAATGCCCGAATACTTTACAGGGTCGGCTGCATTATCGAATCCGTGCAATATCAAGCTTCTCTGCATCTGTCGTAATAGTCAGGCGAACGGTGATAGAATGGCATCAACGACGGGAGGCTGACCGACGAATCAAACTGGAATGTCCCCTCGAGAACGTTGATTTCGATGCAGTGCATGTTGATGAAAATGCCTGCGGCGCCGTCCATGTTGCTTATGGCCTGCCACAGGTCGCGGATATCCTCGATCTGGCGTCGCTGCAGCTTGCAATACGGGAACGCACCATCCGCCGTCGTTATGGATCGCCAGCGTTGGCTCGCGCTGAATCCTTGCCCGATCTTGTATAAGCGCACTAGCAACAGCGACTCCTGTCAGTAGCGGGCATATGACGAAGACGAGTGGTCGGCAGCGTACGCTGTCTCTGCGCATCCAACAGTACAGAATATCGCGTTTGTCGAATCCATGCCTCCAGCTCTGCATCTTGTAGAGCTTCTTGCAGCTGAGCGCACTCATCAATGAAGATATTCACTCTAGATGATGATGGAAAGAACAACCTCGCCGTACAAGCTCAAGGCCTTTATTTTGTTGCCAAGTGACATCCGCATGTCCGCAACCCGCAGTAAGAGGTAGGGAACCCGGTGGCTCTCAAGAATACGTTCCCAGTCTTGCAGATGCAGCGCATGCCACCTCGTTTGACGATTTGACCTTGCGAGAGGCCTCAATCTGCGAAGGCAGGTTAGGTCCTAGGATATCCGTTGGCAGCTCCTGCGAAGATATGCACGACCCGCTAATCCATATTACATCTGCTGATCCAAGTCCTAGAGCGCGCACCCGTGACCCTTGCAAACACGACAGCGACGCTATCGTTGACAGTGACAGCCACGAATCTTCGTCGCTCACTGCGCTCAAGATAAAAATGGTGCCCATTGATCCGCGAAGTCTAGGAACGAACACCATGGGCCGCCAAAGCAATGCATCGAGGGCGGGCTCGGAGCACATAGCAGCTTGTGTGGCAGCGAAGCAAAGATAACAGAAATCGCCAGGCCATGCAGACAATTCCACTCGACCTTGAACGTCTCTCGAGCGGTGCACGCGAGGTCACGCATTGTTGCCCTATAAAAGGATATGATCAATACCATATGAACGAGAACAATGGCATGGACAGGAGCACCGCCTGCCACTCATCAATGACCCAGCCGTTTGATTGGACAGTACTTGTCTACAGGTCAGTCTATGAGGACAACGCCTTCCAGTTTAAGCCATATAACCAAACGCACAATCGTCATCGCGTGCGGAGGAAGCAAGACGGTATTCTGATGCCTCTCTGCTGATGCTTCGAGAGGCGCATGCTAGGCGCCCGAACGGTCTGATATATAGAGGGCGCGGCCTATGGGTCATCTCCCCTTGAGTTAGACCTCTCTTTCTGGCAAAGCATCGCTTGTAACCTAAGCGCTCCTAGAACCTGCAATCTGTTCGGAAACAAACAATTTAACAAGCCAATAGTGAGTGGCACTCTACTCACAATGCTTTCCGATCCCTGATTCTCACCAGAACCAGTTTTTTATCCGCTTTGATCCCTGACTTGTTCTGCAGTCCAAGCAGCCACACATTAGCTCCTATCGCTATATATATATTAGCACGATGACCAGCTGGCAGCAACACGACACTCAAATTCAGTCAATGGACAATAGTACAGAGCCCTGCAAGCATTATGAATCTTTCGGCGAAGTGGATGAGGAAGACGTCGGGTGGATAGCAGATGCATGCGACGACCTCGCAGAAAACATGGATAGCGGTACAGTGGTACGTATCTCTCGGATAGGCCACCCTCATGTTGCTCATGTTGCTTCGCGCACAGCCCTATTACTTGACCGAGAATGCCCATCATCCAATGACCCGTGAGGACCTAATCGAGGACGGATTGGGATACAATACCTCGATCTTTGCATCATGCGCGGATACGGACAACGTATCCACCGCACTCGCACCTGGTCTGCACATGGCAGATCAGAATGCGACCACAAATGAATACGACGCTCACACCGACGGCGAAGAGGATCTCTTCAACGAGCAAGACCGCGAGGTGGGTACCATTGTCGCCGCATGCCCTCCTGCCCCTCGCCATACTGCCAATGGAATGACCGACAAGGAAATGAGCAGCATCCAGAACGACAGGACTGGCGAGGGCTACGTGGACGTCAGAACCAACGTGTGGCCACCCGCAAGGTCACCTCAGCCGGCTCAAATTAGTGACGCATTGGTGGCACGTGATGCCTCGGTATTGTGTGCCACCACGACCACGTCCATCGAGCGTGGTCGACCACCTCTCCCGCTCCCCGGAACCTCTTCAGCTCCCGTCATTCCATCAACGACGACTGTTCTGGAAGAGGAACAAGAGCATCACTCTCACTCAAGACAGGGACTCAAGCGCAGGCGCGATGATGATGCCGACGAAGACAACGATGAAATGGCTCATGTCAAGACCACGACAAGCGCAGAACCCACCCAGGAGCGCAGGGCCAATAGGGAACGTACTGAGCCGACCGTAGTGCCGCACGTAACCTGCCCAGGCTGTGGAGGCAGCTTCCGCGAAGATACGTTCGGACGCCATTGGAGAGATCATTGCGGAATGAGTCCTCAAAGAGAGAACCGTCAACCCTTGGTCTGCGACGTCTGTCGGAGGATGTGGAAACCTGGAGACAACCCACTCAGGGACTTTTCGACTGATCATTCCTTGAGGCGCCATGTTGTGCGCCGGCATACGGAGGAGGACTGGCACGTAATGCAGCGCAAGAGGGGTAAGCAAACTCGTCGTTCGCGCAAGAGAACAAGGGTGCTGCAGTAGTATAAGTTGTCGTATCCTCCTTGTAGCTTTTCTGGTAACGTTTTCCTGCATGTGAAAAGTCATGCGGCTGCAGCCGATCTTTTTGTCTGAAATGACTGTGTGAACTCAACCACGACGGGCTCCATTGTACTAATGCCACCGCGCAACCGTTTCAATCAGTCGGAAGTCCCTCAACGCCTCACTATAAGTCACAGCTATGACAGATCTGCACCTCTCCTGCTACCTCAACACAAGTCGCCCGTCGCTCGAGCACCCACTAGTCACTGTACTTTTGGTCCTCGTCGTCAATATCTATGTGACCCAACTGACTCATGGCTTTGCAGGAATGCCCAGTAGATACGCTGGGGCAGGATGTCGCCTTGCAGCTTGAGGCCTCCCTCAAAGTCGAGTCGTCGAACGGCGTGGCTTGTGCTGCATCCACGAGGCTGTGGGAAGCACTCCTAGAGAATCACCGGGTGCCGTATCTCTTACTAAGGGTTGCGGATATGCGATTTGAGTTGGGCAGCCAGGTCACTGCACTCGACAGTTTCAACTTATAAGAGGAGGTTGGTCGACATCACAGTATCCGAGAGAGATGCATTAATATACGCCACATGTAGCTTCTGGTCGCCCTTAGAGACGAAACCCTGGAAAATTGGATTCGTCAGACTCGGCCTTCAGTATTATCGGATACTCAGGAACAGCGTAAGCCTCCTCTCCCTTTTCCCCAGTACAAACACACGTGCTTGAACCACTTGTCAGTGAGCGTATATCAGACTTCGGAGAACTTCAGCCAAGGCCAACACTGGCGGTCCACCATCACGGCGGATGCAGCGTTCCGACGCTGCAAAATCAAAGAGTCGGACTTCGCATACATGCACAGAATGTGGAAGACCGTGAGCAAGAAGGCAAGCAACGCAGACAGGTTCTTTAACTTGCATTGCATCGAGACAACGGTTATCGAGGGAGTGATTATGTTTGACGAATCGGTCAGCGACAACTCTATCGTCTCTCCTGCCCATCATATCTTGCATTTTCTGATCTTCATTACAGACCCGGTATGACCTCATCATGAATGGACTCGATGAGAAAGCGGTGCCTGTCGATGACAGCAGTATCGTGGCTGGTACACTGGTGTGCTTTGGATTACGGTTCAGAGACACATACTACTTGCACCTCAATAAGGTACGCCATGTCACTTCCACTGTGTACTCGTGACCGAATGGCATGTAGCTCAGGGCAAATTGTGATGGCGACTACTACCGGCTAATGGATTTTCTGTACCTGGTGACGGAGATATCACTGACTACAATCACGATGATAATCGAGGTAAAGAATGCGAGGGACAGGTATCTTGATAAGTCGACAGAGCACTCGGAGACTGCGACGTAGGCACGTAGCATAGCGTTCTCGAGTGTATCAATAGTTACATATCCGAGAGTCAATTCATATCCATCTGCAACACCAGTGGGCCCTTCACCAGGAAGCTGTTGCCATTCAACTGACACGATGTTATAACGCGAGTATATCAGCAACACATCTCTCGCACCTGGCGCACAAAGCACGGGGCAGAATGCGCGTTTCCCGCGTCCACCGCGGACAGGACGGCAATACCGCCATCGCGCTCATAGTGTCGCCAATGTGTCGTGGATAAGGTTTCTTCGGTCCCGCTCTCACCACCATCTCCGTGTAGGAGCCTGTCCGGGCACAGATGAGGCCGCAAGGGTATATTGCTCCACACCCTCCGCGCTCCAGGCCCCCCGAGCTGTTGCACAGTATGGAACTCGAGAAGCCCCGTGTCTAACAGCTCATAAAGATGGGTGTCAGTGCCATCAAGTACGCAGAGGAATGAGATTGGATTCGTGCTCGTCCTGCCCTCCGCGGGGATGTCTATCTGTCCGACTGTCCGACTGTCCGACTGTCCGTCTGGTTCTCTTTCTGCTTGCCCGCAGCCGCGCCGCGCTCCAGCATCCCAAGTGGCTGCCTACCCACACGGTGTGGAAACAAATATTCTGCAGGATTATTTCAATAGTATCTCTGCGAACTACTGCATTATCCACAAATGCATTGAGGACTGCAATCAGGTACAGCGTCATGTATCAGTAGAGACTCAATCGGACAAGAGGTGCCCGTGCGCGTCCGGTGCATTCCTCGAACTCGACAAATACTTCACGTACCATACTATGGTTTACCAGTGGATGGCCCCCCCCTTCTTGATGGCCAGGTAACACTTCATCACATCAATGTGACAATGCCGATTCAGAGGTCCGCTCGGATCACAGGGCCGGGGCCTGAACGTTTGCTCAGTGGCGTGTGGCTCCACGGTGATCGACAGGCCCATTTTGTAACTCCGCTCGCATCCGTTGTGGCCGTTGTGCTCTCGGGCGTGACATCGCCATCAAACCCCTCGAAAGAAGGGAATTCTCAATGATTCATCCGTTCGCTCTGATTCCACTTGGAGGTGGAAGCAGGCATACGAGAACATAGGTGTACATATAACTTCCAGGGCAGGGGAGTGCCCAGTTGCTGCGCATCACAATCCTGGCCATCGAGAGGGGGGGCATCCACTGGTAAGCCATAGTAATTCCTTGAAGGAAAACAAAGCTACTTGTGTGATTGAGATAACGCACAGAGAGTATTGGCAATCGCGACGACTAAAATGTATTTCAATTACATGATTCCGTTGTAGTATCCGGCATGGGGAGATGCCCTCAAGCAGACGTTGAAGTGTGTTTAAGGATTTCATAGCAATGATGTACCCGTATCAGGCCACTGTACCAGCAGGCCCGCCGGTGTAGTTCAATTAGATGAGAACGAGATATCAGCACACGCTGTTTAGCAGAGGCAATTCTGCTAGGGTGGATGGAATAGTCCACCAATGGCAAAGAGAATGTCTGAGATATCCCTATAAACCAGATTCAAGAGAGAACAGCGAATACTCGCAACATTTTGAAGGAGGTCAAGCGCTGACAAGAAGGAGAGGCTTGAGCCCTGGTTGTGCTGTAATTCGGATACAGACAATGTAGACTGCATTGTTCGCCCCAAATGGCTCAGCACAATAACGCGGTACAGATGACTCGCACGCCGTGGCTGGTCGATCAGAACGATAGCAGCTCGGCATGATTCCAGCTCGTGGCTCACACAAGAGCGCTTTCCGTTTTAGTCCTACCAAATGATGGAACGGCCTTCTTTGGAACAACGTTTGTTGGATATTTTCTCCGTCGTCCGTTGAGAACACTAGAGAAGCGCCGAAGCCTTGACTATCCAACCTATAAGGCGCGCAGTGTAAGCCAACTCAGATCCACCTCGAGTGCGTACTACCCCGCATCCTCTCCGAACACCTTTTGATTCAAGGACCCAAAAGCGAATAGTAACGTAAGTGCCGCACAATCTTTGTTCTCATATAAAGATACTTAGCGACATGCCAGAAGCATTCACTTCCATATCTCTTTTTTTCATGGGCAACACCATGTCCGAACAAGAAAGGCTGTCGAGGACAGGCAGAAACGAAGGCACACATCTCCCGCGCATCAGGTCTGATGCCTTCCTGAGCGAAGGGTTGCTATATGAATGTGGATTTGATGTCCACAACAGCCTAGACTTTGATCCCATAACGGGAGAGCCTAGGCTGGAGTTCGACCCCAGTCCAGAGGTCGGAATGTCCATGCAGAGCAGCCTTGCATTACCCTTGAACCAGGTCGAGGAGGGTCACCTACCAGAACCCGATCCTTTGCCGGAAGGCCGCCGACGTTCAATTGATACAACTTCATCACGCGAGGACACCAGCAATATATCCTTCGCGCATGCGCCTGGCCCACAAAATGTGGGGCAGGACACAAACAACAAAGAATACACCACATGTACCGAGGGCGGTTCCCGCGTCCACCGCGAGCAGGATGGCGATGCCGCCAACGCGCGCATCGTGCCGACAATGTGTCGCGGACAGCACTCCTTCGACCTCGCTCCCACCATAACACCCACGTGGAAGCCTGTCTGGGAGCGGACGAGGCCACAAGGATACAACGGTCCACCCACGGTCCATCCCGGGCCGTCGTCTTCTCCTAACCAAGCGACGGGCCCCACAAGGATTCAGCCCTCGCGTGCCGCAAAAGGAGAGGGCGCAAGGGCGCGGGCGGAACCTACGCAGCTGAGCGCGGGAGGAGTCGATCAGGAGACCCCACGCGCTGTCAAGAGAAAGGGCGACCCGATCGGCGGTGACGAGAAGCGCAGCAGATCCAGCCAGGGAGAGGCATCATCCTCAGCGCAACCCAGGAGGGACGTCGTGCCACGTCTTAGTCTTCCGCCGACGCAAAATTCGACTGCGAGTTCTCTCCCCGTCACCACGAAGGCACCCCGTGACCGGAAGCCACAAGAGAAGAAGTATCGTTGCACCAATTGCAACAAGCCGAAGGCGACGTTCTCTGCAGAGTACGAGCTCAACCGTCACGTGAAGCAGTGCACGAACCCCGGTGCGAGGCCGTACAAATGCTGGATCTGCCCGCAGAAAGCCAATGGCGAGCTTGTTGGATTCGACAGACACGACGCCCTCAGGCGTCATTTTAAAACGAAACATCCGGGGGAGCGGCCACCGTCGAAGCGTGATTTGAACTAGAGGGCACGGACCTTCAGTTAGCAGCTGTCTAGAACACTGGTCTTCGGAGTCGACGCTTGCCCGTGCGTTGCTTCGTGCCTTTCGTGCTTTGCTATATATCGCCCCGCATGTCTGTAGTATCTCAATGGGATCACTCGCAACTGTCTGTGGATGATGCTGAAGTCGCGAGCTCACCGTATGTGACCATTTGTCGCTGGATAGTCAAGGCATCACGACCGTCGCCTCAGGATAGCTCGATGTAAGAGGAGATGTAAGATGGTGCCCCATAGCTTTATCCACAATTGCACGCAAAACAGAGCAAGATATACACATCGATAGAGGAAAGAAGCTCATCGCGATCTCGCTGGCAGATGCTTACGTACACAGCAGCTGAGTGGCTGCCGCTGATCATTCTTCCACCCACGTTCATAAATTAGAGCCTCGTAAGTACAATACAAGCAGCATCGAGTAATGGATGCTGGAACCATACAATGAACCTAAGGTAGACATGAAATCCCTTTGAGCACGCCGTAAGAACACAGTAGTCCGTCGCCGCTTAATGTATCCAGGCCCCTTAAGTACGGACCCCAAGAAGACCGGCTGGGCCTGAAGCGCGCCATAATGGATGTTGATGCCATCAAGTACGCGGATGAATGGAATTGTAAAGCAAATTTTAGATTCAACTAAATTAGGATTCAGTAGATATCCCACCGCCGATATGTTGAGTCCGAGCTTGAAACGCATAACAGCGTTCTGTGACGGCGGGGCAGACATGGCAGTCACTTCCACTTCTGCTGCGCATTGTATAATCCATGGACGGTGTATGCAAGCTCGCATTGTTGGCTTATGAAAGGACCTGATTAACATCAAGCGCACGGGGACAATAGCATAGCCAGGAACACTACCTGCCACTTGTCAGCGTCTTAGTCGCTTGACTGGCCAATGCTGGTCTGTGAGTTAGCCTACGAGGGCGAAGCCTACTAATTTCAAGCAGAGAATCAAACGCACGGTTGTGCGGAAGAAGCTAGTTGAGCGCCCGAATGGTCTGGTATATAGGGCGCGCGACTTACGATGCACCTCTACTTGAGTTGATCCTCTAGAGAACTACCTGCTCTCACACAAGCACTCCTAGGAAAGGCCCCCTGATCAGCATCGAGCCACTGAACAGCTATGATGTATAATAGGCGCCACTCTACTCAACACGTCTTCTCACCCTATTACATATGGCGGCGCAGGGTTGTCACAGCGCGACGCTAGGAAGCACAGAGATGGATACAGACATAGCATGGATAGCAGAAGTCTGCGATCACTTCGCAGAGGACATGAGGAGGGCGGGGAAACGGTACGTACCTCAGGCTTCCCGACGATCTGCGCTGGGGATGCTCATCTAGTATCGTCAGCTGTCCCAGCCCTCGTTCTGGGAAATGGGGAAGAACACGACCGCAAGGTGGATGTCATCGTCGCCCCATTCACTTTGCCCCTTTCCAAAGTGCCGATGGGAGGACCGACGAGGAAGGCGCTATGGGCAGCACCAAGGGTGACAGCATCAGCGCGGGTTATGTCGACGTCGAAACAAACATGTATCCATTTGCAAGGCGCGCTGAGCCGTCTCAAATCAGCGACACATGGTGCCTTGGCATCGAGCGCCATCAAGTCCACTGGGCATGCGAGCTCACCTCTGACAGCCGCCTTTTCCTCGGGTGGCTTGGACACTCAACCGCCGTCCACACGAGCGATGTCCTCTTCGCCACATCCTGGAACCTCTTTCACGCCCGCTGCCCTTTCATCGACGGCTGTTCTAGAGGAGCAACAGGTCCATGCGCGGCAGGGATGATCACGACGACGATGCCAGTGGAGTGGGTCATCTCAAGGCAACGACGAGCGCGAAACCCACCCAGGAGCGCAAGACCAAGAAGACACATACTGAGCCCACCGAGGTGCCACACGTCACCTGCCCAGGCTGTGCAGGCAGCTTCCGTGAAGATACATTCGGACGCCACTGGAGGGATCATTGTGGACAGAGCCCGGAAAGAGAGCCCCGTCAGCCATTAGCCTGCGACGTCTGCTGGAGGGAGTGGAAGCCTGGAGACGACCCACTCAGGGACTTTTCGACCGACCATTCATTGAGGCGGCATGTTGTGGGCCAGCATACAGAGGAAGACTGGTACGTAATGCAGCGCAAGAGACAAGGAGACTCGCCGTTTGCACATCATGAATTCATCCGTGGTGCCGTCTCCCCTATCCATGGTCTCCAAGAAGTCAAGATGTAGTCGAGTTGAGCTGGCGGAAGACGGAGGGGCGACGCTTGTAGCGGTCGTGGATCGTGTCTATTGGCAGGGGCCGAGCCTCGGGGTGTCTTGTACGGGTGCACTAGCAAGAGCGTCGACTTGGTGTGATTGCAAGCGGGCCATGGCAAGCCCTCCCAGGGCGCAGAAGTTTTGTGAACAACAACGATGTAGTACTAGTGCAGCTGGCGCGTCTTACAGCGGGCGGACAGGACTGAGAGTGGGAGTGGGAGGTCGTCTAGTAGTCAGCTCGTTGGACTTGGGATTCCATCACGACGACATCAGTTGGCGAGCTGGACTCGTTAAACGGTTATGTATAAAACAAGCAGGACTTTGTGAAATTCAGTAGAGGTGTAAAGGTATGTGGTATGTGCTGGGGCTTGAGCAGGGTAGAGAAATCCCGGGCATACCCGCAGGCAGAGCGCAAGGAACGTTCGACAGGTCGCACGCACCACGAAAAACGGAAGCTACCACGCACGCACGGTCACGACATGAGCGCGCACGATCGCAATTGTATGGGGATGAAGGATAGATTTACGCGAGGCACACACGACGACAAGGCTAAAGGCTAAAGGAGGGGCACGTGCGCGGACACGCTGTGCAGAGAAGACAGGAAGAAGAGGGGAGAACGGAGGATGCGGACATATAGAGCGTCATAAGACGATGATCCGGGGACGTGACACGCGTGAAGGATGGCAGGAACGCGTCGCATGACGCGGGGAGCGTGCGCAATGGCGTGAGCGGCGGTGTCACTCACCCGTCACCTGCGCCGTATATGTACGTGCGACGTGGGCACGGGCGCGCGGACGTACCTCTGCCTCGCTTTCTGCTTTCCTCTGCTCTGCGAACTTGCGTTCCTCTCACATACTGACGACGACCATCCGACGACCTTGGCTATTAGGGGCTTTTCATGGCATGGCGGGGCGCAGTGGCTGGACGCGGCTACAGAACCCGCGAGACGAGAACAGACCGCCGCCGTACGACGGACCGAGCGCCAGCACGAGCACAAGCGCGACACCACAGTCGAGACGAGGCAGCAGCGCATCACAAACCAGACGAGAAGACGAATCGGTGTTAGATTACGTCGCATCACTGCGCGCAGGCGGTGAGTAGCGGCACATCCATTTCGGGGGGAAGAGCCGCATAGCCGGGGATGCCAGGACCCCTGAGAAACCCCCTCAGAGCTCCGATCCCGCGCAGAACCCTTTTCGGGGGTCAGCCCTTGGTCGATTTCCGGGGAAATGCACATAACCTCGCCTCGTTCCGGTTCTTTTCGGGGATATATGGGATCTAACATCGAAAGGTTCGCTCACAGTTGCTAAATTCGCATTTGGGGGCGTCCGGCACGTAACCTGACCACTGTTCGGGCTCCATTTCGGGGATTGAGATGTAACACTTTCGCTCCAGAGGCACCCTTTTCGGGGACTTCGAGCTCTGAGCTCTAGGGGGGCTCTCAGGGGTCCTGCAAGGCCGGGCTATCGCGATAAGGTTGGGTGCTCTCAGCCACCGACGACGGCAAAAAGCAGGCAGAGGCCTGGGCACGATGACTCGGGCGACGCTGTGCTTCTGCTTCTGCGTCTGCTTCTGCTTCCCCTCCGGCGCCTTGTGTGGTCCGTTCAGGCACGTCAAGCTGTCAGACCAGCGCCCTGGGCTTATCACGGCCGCGGCGAATGCACCCACTGCCGCCTTTGGTCTTATATCGCCTGCTTCTTCCCTCGTAACTTCGCCCACTGCTAATCCCCCTTACTCTCTCTTACTCCGAGTCTTTTTCCTGGCTTTGCTCATCTGCTATGGCCGCAGACAACGACTCCATCAAGTCGGGCACTTCCTCCCAGCGTTCCGTCTCCCGCGGACGCGACTTTGTGCGTAGCCCCTGTCGCACTCTAAGCGCTTTTCTCCTCTGACAGACGTCCGTCGCCCGTCACAGCAATCGTCCGGGCGCGGTGGCGTTGGCAACATTCGCAGGACTTCCATCGACCCCAACTCTCCCAAAACACCCAACTTCAATCCCGAGGATGATGTGACTATGAACCGCGGTCGAGAGCCGGCGCAGGCTGGGGACAAGGACAGGGTGAGTGTTTTTGCTCTGCAGTGTTCTTTTTTCCCCTTCGACTTTGTCCCCCCTTCGCGGCCATCATCTTTCGAGCTTATCGCACGCGACCGTGTCTTCGCCGATATTCCCTTTTTCGTCATTCTCTTTCGCGTTCAGATACCGGACCGTCTACCAGCACGCGGTCTTGCGTGTGAGCCCAGTCGTTCTTCTCTCGTCTTGACGACGACGCACCGCCATGGCCGAGGTGCGCCCGACGTGTGCACTGCTTCGTGAAGCAGCGATCGCGCGCATACAGCCACGGATGTCGAGCAGAATCACGTCCCGCCGGGCGAAGGCCATCAGACACCGCATGCCCTGCTGAAGACGTAAAGTCCGTTGTGCGTCAGTCCTTATCAGGGCTGTTCGTGCTTTGCAACAGCGTTTTCGCGCATACAGTCTCGGACGTCGAGCAGGCCTGCATACAGGCGGTGAGCGCGGGAACTACGCGCGCCACTATCAGGGCGGGAGGGATCGCATGTGATTGCCTGACTCCCATCAGCTAGCGTCTGATGTGGTGCGGCCTGCCATTCAAGGCAGTACGATGTCCCGCGGGCACTTCTGGCGCAAAGCCCGTCTCATAGTCTGGTGGTTATTCTCTTGTCGCGGTGCTCGCGTGCTGGTTTATCGCGTTCGTAACAGCCTCAGAGGGTTATATTAAGGCGTGTCAAGCGCATATATGCGCTTGTCACTCGGTGCTTTTCTGTTCGCGACGACTTACTGGGCCCGTAATCGGGCGCTCACGAGCTTTTTCGACACCTCTTGATCCTTGAGCGGTGGCTGAACGTGCGGCAATTTGGCAATGTCGACTGACGATCTAGTACGTTGATTCCGCGCTCCGTGTGCAGGCTTGGGCCAAACAGCGGCCTGCGTCGTGCCCTTGCATACCACTGCCCTTGTTGCCTCGCGGTCGCCATGCGCTCTGGCAGTGTCTGGACTGACCCTGTGTGGGTCCTGGCACCGTGCATTGGCGTGTGGTCACCGAGATACGCCCTAGCGCGCGAGCGTTCCGTGGTCCACGGAACGCGTTCATGCTAGCACAGACTCTATTCGGGAGCGGCGGACCACCACACAAACGTGGGCTGTGTTCCGCTTATGGACAGATGGGCCGCGAGTCCCGGGACGAATTGAGCCGGCTTGCCCCGTCGTCGTTGATCTACTGCACTGC